TGTTTGTTCGTTCTCGCTATTCATATCGGTTAGAGTATTGGAGGATTAGTGTTGGTTTTGATTGTTTTATAACACTAATTATATTCCAGTGATGGCTTTCCCTTTTTTGGATCAATTTTATCGCAGAATTCCTGCCCATTTTTCTTGTTTGAATATGCAAATTTATTGTTCTATTTTGTGACTAACTTTCATTGAGTTCCTTTATGATTTCTTCTGTTTTATTTGTTTTAAGAAGTTCATTGATATTGTCTCTCTCTGCAATCATTGCCTCGATATTGTGGTCCTTCCAGTAAAGTATTCACACGTCTTTACGTCTAGCTCTAGGTATCGATACTTTGCAGCTTTGGATATGTTCGAAGAGAATTTTCGCAATTTTTTGTCAATCGTTCTGTGATTTAATTCTTCGTTGCACAGTTCTTCAAGCTTTTCTGTGAATTTTTTTCCAGTGTTCTTTTATTCCGTTGGAAATTCTCAATTTTGAATTTTAGGGTTGTTAAAATTGGTCTGTGGTCACCGATTGCACATTTCAAAATTTTCCATTGTATTGTGGGTGCGATGTTGTAATTAATCGCTGTGATGTCTATTGCGGATTCTGTGCCTGTGGACTTGGATAGATAGGTGTTCTTTTCGTTATTTAACGGTGTAAGGTCGAGGTCGGTTAGCATGTCCTCAACCTGCTGACATTGTTATCCTGGACAGGTGATCCCCCAAGTTGGTCTTTCGGCGTTAAAATCACCAAGTATGATTGCGATATCCGAAGACGCTTCACTTAATGTCTCTATCAGGCCTGTATTGATGCTAGTATTATCGTGGTGATAAACATTTATGATTGAAATTGTTTTATCTGTAAGATAGATTTCTATTGCCTGAGCATCTGTCGTGCTTTCTCTAGGTTTACTCTGATTATAGGCGATTTCCTTAAATTTGATTTCTAGAGTTTTAATCAAAACGGCAAGTCCTCCGAATTTTCCCGGTCTGTCCTTTCGTAGTGTTGTATAATCTTTGATATTGAATCTCAGATTCTGATTCAATTTTGTCTCCTGAGGACAATTAATATGTACATTGTTGTCACAGGGAAGACAAGTCAGCTCTTTATTTTCCTCTTGGTACCATTTATATTGAGTTGTAGTAGATTGAATTGTGTCCTCGTAGTAGATTTCTCATCATGAGCTCGAGCTGCAGCTCCTGACGCGGCGGTTATTCCGGACGCGGTAGCATTACTGGAGATATCAGTTTTGTTCTTCATTTGAAAATGGGTGCCGTTGCAACGTTAGTCATCTTGGAGACGAACCAGAATTTGTTCAAATATTCCAAGGGTCCAGGGGTGACCGCAAGGAGGTGTGGTCGGACTTCTCCCCTTCCCCCTGGAATGCCGTCACTACAGGATAAAGCACTCTTTGTGAATTTTTAAAATTGTTATTCAGAATCTGCCACTGAAGCTTTACGAGCGTTTCGTTCCTTTAAAGATATTCGAAGCGGTAAAGGACCAATGAGTTGCTACTCTCTAAAGCGATTGATTAAAAGTTTTGAGGAAACTGGATCTCTGGAAGCAAAACCTCGGAGTGGAAGACCATCGACATGCAAGTCAGTGGCTGTAATGGTTTTGCAGAATGCTGAAGCTATTGAAACGTTATCCACGTATGGAGAAGCAAGTGTGAGACAAGTTTCTCGACAAACGGGGATTTCGTATGGAACAGTTTGGAGAGAACACACATTCAGAATTTTTCTATAAAATACCCTAACAAAATTCAAAGTTTTCATGAGTTGAAAGTTAGGGATTTTGAGAAGCGTCAAGAATTCGCTGCATGGGTTTTCCGGCAGATTGATATTGATTAAAACTGGCTGTCAAATGTTCTAAGAACAGATGATGCTCACTTTTCTCTAAAGGGAGAATTTAACATTCAAATCTGCCTCATTTTGGCAACAGAAAACCCTAGGAATTTTACAGAAATACCACTCCATCAGCCCAGAGTTACAGTTTTGTGTGGGCTCACTTCTTATTTTATTATTGGGCCATTTTTCTTTTAAAAAATCAATGTAAGAACTTTCAAAACCATTTTTGTAACTGGTGCACGTTATGTTCAACCTTTGAGAGAAAAGGTTATTCCCAATTGCAGGACAGACAAGCACTAAGCGAATAACATTCATGCAAGATGGAGGACCTCCTCATATCTCCCGCGGTGCCAAACAATTGCTGAAGGGTACTTTCGGTGAAAACCGTTGATAAGTCGCCACTTTATATACCAGTGGCCTCCAATATCACCAGACTTGACGCCTTACAATTTCGGTTATAGGGTACATTAAGTCGCGTTTTTATCGATGCCGGCCTACCACATTGGCCATGTTGAAGGGTTCTATCAGATGGCACGTTTTATAAATTTCAACAATTTAATTGTGACCATTCTGTCATCTATCGTCTGCAGGCGGTGTTTGAGAATGAAGGGCGCCACATTGAGCAAGGATTGTGACCTAATACAAGAGAGAAGGCAGTTACCTCATGTGTTATATTTTGCAGCTCTTTGTTTTGGGTTATGGGAATAATAAATGCTGTCCTCACATCTTGACTCTTTTTTTTTTCTGTGAACAGTAATTTTTTTAAACAATACTTAAAATTATACCGCATAAGTTTCTTTTCTATGAAAAATCAATATTTATTTTAAAGAGAAATATTTACTATTTCTAACTTTTGAATGAAGTATGAGAGGGTGAAAATATGAAGAGTAATGGCGAACGGGAAAAATAAAAGTGTCCAGGGGCGGGAATCGAACCCACAACCCAAAGTTAGAAATAGTAAATATTTCTCTTTAAAATAAATATTGATTTTTCTTAGAAAATAAACTTATGCGGTATAATTTTAAGTATTGTTTATAATCACATGCCGCATTCCTTTATAATGTATTATAAGTTACTTTAAGTATTATTTACGAACGGAGAAATAACGTCCAGGGTAGCCTAGTGGACATGGCACCTGCCCGGTAAGCAGAAGGTTGTGGGTTCGATTCCCGCCCCTGGACACTTTTATATTTCCCGTTCGCCATTACTCTTCACATTTTCACCCTCTCATACATCATTCAAAAGTTAGAAATAGTAAATATTTCTCTTTAAAATAAATATTGATTTTTCATAGAAAAGAAACTTATGCAGTATAATTTTAAGTATTGTTTATAATCACATGCCGCAGTCCTTTATAAAGTATTTTTTTTTTGTTTGTCATTTGCCCACATCTTATATTATGTCGTGCAGGCCAAAGTGTTATAACTTCTCGAATAACACTTGTATACACAATTTTACCCCTTATATTTAGTTTATCGCTTTTCGCTCATTAGAAGAAATAGCATAAGGAATATTCTCTGTATCCCCCCAAACTTTAGAAATTTTGCGCAAAAATAATACAAAATGATTTTACTACCACGTTTTTCAACGCAAAAGGTCGATTAAAAAATGATTTTTTTAGGGGATTTCAAAATTATGTACAGTATAATAAACAATGATAACATTTGACAAACCCATAGGATATTTGGAATAAAGTACGACAAATATATTTTGTCACTCCCCTCTATATTTGATTTTTGGATCATGACAAATATCCAGTTAAATAGTCAAGTGTCGCCAATTAGTCAAGAAACTATACATTCCTTATAGCACGAAATCCTATTAGTAGTGCCATCATAATTTTTGGTACTATATTAACATTTCAAAAATCGTGTATTGATATCAGTAGTTATTTTCAAACATTCAATCTATTTCACAAAACCATATCTAAAATATAAATATTTTTGCTACATGTTTTAATTTGCATATACCTATTTTACATATCTCAGATTGTATTTAAAAATAGTCAACCAATTCTTCTAACTTTTGGCGAAATGGTGTTTTATTAATTTATCATTTGATATTATTAGGGTTCTTTCCTGCTATTCAAAAAGGAAAAAATACGTATCGTTCAGGTAAATTTTTCAATTTATCAAACAATTTGGCCGCTGAATCTCTGATTCTGGTAGAGCGCCATCTAGCTAATAAAGTTGTAACTAAAATCAATTTCGAATTTTTCATTATATGCCATAAATATTTCCATTGCATCCTGAACACAATGGTGTTTACCGCATTGCTCTAGCGCAAATATTCGCGGAGTTATTAATTTTTAAAGTTGTGCGGGACTTTTGGATCATCCTGTACATCGAGATCATGCCAGTCAGGGTCTTGTTGAGTCTTTCAGTCAAACCATTCGTTTAAGGGTGGTACGCCGTTAGATTATTTATTTATCGTATGGTCTGAGACATGAAATTTCTTCCTCTGTCAGTGATGATTTCCCGAAAAGCGTCGTGCTTGAGTATGACGTCTTTAATAAGGAAGGTTGATAAATTATTAGCTTTCGCTGTTGTCGCGGACTTTACAGTCACTTCACAATCAGCGGGAGCCCTCGTCACTTCGTTCTTTGATGCTCCAGAATGCCACCGTAGAAGAGTAAGAACTCCTCTTAAATATCAATATTTCGCTCCTAGCTCGACTCTATCTGTTAACGGAACTTTCCTAGTACAATTGTGTCTTTTTTTTGTGTGGACATTCTCAAGTCTTCCACTCTGCCTCGACCACGACTACCTGTACTCTAACAGAGAACTGTTAAAGGTCTTCCAAGGTGCAGAGAGGTACTGGAAAACTCTCCGCACACTGACTGTCCCTCTCGGTGACTTCAGGTTTGACCCTCTGGGTTACCACAGTAAAGCGAGATTCGACAGGATATTGTAATATGTGTAATATGTAAATGAATAAAACAAAGCTTCGAGGGCTGTGTATCTTTTATTTTGAGAAATATTAACCATTTTTTGCATATGTTCATCTAATAAATCTTTTATGACCCAATTCCACGAATTTAATGATCATACCTTGTATATATGTGATATCTGTTATCTACTTATATAATTGCCTTTTTCTGTCTGTGTGAAGTTCACTGTGTGAAGTTCACGGATAGATTTTGGTCAGAATGGATAAAATAAAAAAAGTGTCAAGGGATGGGCATCGAACCCACGACCTTCCGCCTTACCGGGCAGATGCCATGACCACTAGGCTACCCTGGACATATTTTTCCGTTCATAAAGTTAATATATGAAGTCTGGAACGGGACGTTTCACAAGAGTGATATCCATGACGCCAATTTATATTTGTAACGAATAGTATTTGAATTAAAACGTTTTTAAAATATATACGCACTCGGGTAAAACCCGGGCGTTGCCTGGGCCATATAATATAAATGCTTTAAATAGATTTGACCATTGACCAATGTTATTATTGTTTATATTGTAGCATAAGCCGACTTCATGGAACAGGAAGCTCGTGTCAGCGCCAGGTTGTTCCACGCGAACTCTCGCTAGTGCTTCCTTTCTTTGGTCTCGAAGCTTTGTTTTATTCATTTATAAATCGTACAGGGTTTATCAATCGATATTGTAATACCGTTTCTAGACATACAATTAACCAGAAACCAAGATAGAATTGAAACTCGAATATACCGAAAACCTACCCATACTGGAAGCTATCTGAACTTCAATTCATTTGGTCCCATCCACCATAAAATTTCCGTGGTAAAAACTCTTTCAAAAAGACTAACCACACACTTTTCAACAAACGATAACGACACAAAAAAAGAAAGAACCAAGATATTTCAAGAACTACTTAGCAATAATTACCCTAAACCGTTTATCAAAAAGCATTTCTACAGACCGAGAATATCACCCACAAACAATAGACAAACTTCATCCCAAAACATTTTTTGCTCCCTACCATACAGCTATGGCTGTGAAAGAATAGCTAGAAAACTAAAATACTACAATATCACAACAAGATTCCAATCTACCTCGAATCTTAACAACATCCTCCGCCATCCTGATACAAAAAAGGTCACTGAACCAAACAATAGAACCAATGTCATATACAAAATACCATGCAAGTCTTGCCAAGCCGTCTACATAGGAGAAACCGGTAAACCATTAATAGAAAGAATCAACCAGCACAAATCAGCCCTAAAACACCATAACCCGACCTCCTTATTAGTAGATCATGCTCTCATCAATGGCCACATTTCAGACTTTGAACAAACATCAATAATACACCAAGATATAAAAGAAAAGCACAGCAGGCTATTCTTGGAGAGTTGGAGTTCTTTGGAAGACAGAAATAGCATAAACCGAAAGATCGATATACCGGACATGTACACACAATTTAGATGCTCCTAGAATAGGAACCTCTATGTATATATGAACTTCAGTGAAATGTCTTCATCATAATGCAATAGCCGAATATTTATTTTGTATATATAGATATTTACTTTTCACTCTATTTATTCATTTATTTTAATTAGTAATGTACGATATTTATTTGTCTACATTACATTTTCATTTGAATGATTTTCGCCCGAAGAGATTGTGAGACGCCCGTGTCTCAAGTGTAATGCGCGGCTTGCCGCGAGAGGGGATGAGATCCTTGAAAAAGATGGCCGTTTAGCCCATTGAAATATCGGAAATAAAAGATTATTTATTGAATCCAAGATGTGCCCTTTATGAACAAATATAAAAATGTGGATTGCTCTATTTTCAGAATAATATAAATATATGTAAGAATAGGTCTGAATTCTGTCGACCTCTGTAAGAATCGGTGTGAATCCTGTCGACTCTCTGTAACAACCCGTTTGAATCCTTGTGAATTGTTGAATCCTACGTCGGATTATGTTGAATTGGTGAATTGGTTGGTTGGGTGGATTTGATTGGATTGGTGATTGATGGCGCAGTCTTGGTCGAATGGTGGGTTTCCACAGGGGAATTACGAGCACACCTGGATGGGATAGAAATAGACCTTGCGAAAGGGAGAGTGATGAAACTGGAGGAGGTACTTGGCCTTTCACATGATGGAGCGGACACTACCTTGGTTGGAGCCAAAGTTGAGCTCACCTGGCTTCTAGAACGGTCACCTACCTTCCTTTTCACTTCTTGTCCGAGATCATCGTCATTAACTCTCTCGACTTCTCATTGGTGGAGATCCTTCCATGTGGTCTCTGATGATTCGCTATCAGTTGGACATGCTTAAAGGTGATTGGTTGTTGATTTGTCATACTTAACTGTAATTGGCTTAGTACATCTATGATCCTGGATGATGCAATCCTGTTAATTGTTATTCCCCCTTTTCGCGAAGCCTAAATTTTATTAAATCTTTTGAAGATACATTGCATAGATTGTGGTGGGTTCACATATTGCTATATACAGATTATCACAGATGTGTTACCTACCTGTGAAGAATTCAAAAAAGTGGTAGCCTGAATTGAATTCTGTTGGAGAAAAGTGATTTTGTGGGGAAAATTGATTAGAGAGCACTGTGGGGCTATATTCAAGTATCATAAGTGAAATAAAAAGGGATAAAGCGATTTGTGCTGGTGAAATAATTGTTGAGTAAAAGAAAGAAAAATAATAATAAAATGATGCCTATACAATTATTCAAACTCGATGTATGGAAAACTACATAAAGGGAATTTTCTGTTAGGGCTTTGGGAAATCAAAATAAAAAAAATAATAAAAAAAGAAATCAAAGTCAGTTTTCGTTGAAAAAAAAATTGTTGAGTAAGAAAAAAAATGGTGCCTATACAATTATTCAAACTCGAGTTATGGAAAGCTACATCAAGGGAATATTCTGTTAGGGCTTTGGGAAATCAAAAATAAAAATAAAATTAAAAGAAATCAAAGTGAATTTGCGTTGGTGCATTGTTGAGTGAGAGAAAAAATAAAATAAAATGATGCCGATACAATTATTCAAACACGAGGTATGGAAAGCTATATCAAGGGAATATTATGTTAGGGCTTTGGGAGATCAAAAATAAAAATAAAATTAAAAGAAATCAAAGTGAGTTTTCGTTGAAAAAAAACCTGTTGAGTGGTTGAAAAAATAAAATTGGTTAATAAAAAAATAAAAAGAAAGTTATTATATAAATGGTAAATATTTTGATTGAGCATTGATAAATTCAAAAATAAAAAAAAGAACAATGGTTGCCTGTAAAGTCGGTTTTACGGGCGAAGATTTTACGTGACAACGGTAGAATATTTATTGATATGAATATAATTAAATTGCACAATAGGAACAAGGAATTGAATGAAAATAAGAATTGCACAAGTAAAAACACTCTCGTTCGGTGACTCATCGTAACGTTACCGGGCGTTACACTTTTTCATAAGTGACTCCCAGCCGCAACCTAATTTAAGACGTTGTCACGTCAAAAAGTTAATAAATGGGGTGAGAAAGAAGAAAATATGGTATGTAGAAAGATACACAAAAATATATCTTAATGGTGAAGTTTCAATGCCAGGGTGTATCTAGGTCACGCGGAGACTTCCGATTTTTGATGCCCATGTTTATTTTTTGTCTCTTGTGCGAATTTGTGGATAAATTTCATAAGTTTTTTTGTGAGAAATGTGGAACATTAATTTTATGTGTTGTCAAAGATCTTAAGGTCTGTTGTGTTGGGCGTGAGTTTGGAAACATGTTTTATATGGGTAAAATGTAATAAGTTGTTTTTTGAGTGTTGGAAAATAATGGACATTTTTAATTCATTTGGATGGCGGTGTTTTGAGAATTGAATTTTGAATTTGAAAAGAATCGAGGTATGAATTCATTGTGGAACTTGGGATTCCCAAGCTGTGAGGATGGTATGAACTACATTCGGTGACAGCCAAGATGGCGAACGTTTTGTAAGTCGGGAGGCCAAGAGGTGACCTCAATCGACAGGCGTCATGACTGACCGGAAAACGAGAGGGGGAATGGAGAGGCCCGTGCGGGGAACTTTCTAAATTAGTCCAAACTCCCTCTGGGACGATCTAAATGTCCGCTTGAAGTTTTCTTCCAGGATGTCCAGGACGAGAGTTAGAAACATATGGAAGGCACTACCTATCTGGAAGATGGCTTCCTGTAATTGTAAAGCCTTTGGGGCTGTTGGGCATATAGTCCAAGGTAGATTACTATGGTTAAGGGGGCTAGGGAGTATGACATAGTAAGAAGACAGATAAAAAGTATTAAGTGGAATATGGAGAATCTAGACATGTTTTCCAATATTGTCTCCATGAGTGGAGTTCTCTGTGGGTCGTGTTGTAATTCTATTTGTTGTGGCAGACTGGGTGGAGGATTAGTTATGATTGGATCTATCTGTGGATGGCGATGTCGTGTGTTTTGTTATGGGTGAAGGGTATAAATCGGGTTTTGGTGAAAATGGTGGGATCTAAATATATGAAAGGGTTGCTGTTTGTCGGTTTGATTGTCAGTGGCTCTGTTGGAAAAATGTCGGGTGTAAGATGTTTGAATGGAAACGTATATTCGTTCCTATGTCGTAGATTGTGTGTTTTTTGTTGTGGGTGGTATTATGTATTGGATGTTTTCTGTGTATAGTTTAAATTTGTTTACATGGACTGTATCGGTATCTCTTTGGAGGGGTTGGTTGAGCCTATCGATATGCTCTGTCAATTGACAGGTTGGACAGGTTTTGACCTTTTGTGCAATATCTTGTGACTTGTCCTGCCGATAATATTGAGCGGATATGAGTCTCGTCATCTGTGAGATACCTGGATGATTGTATTGTGTGTAGTACTGATTGAAGTAGTTCGTTGGTGAGTGTTTTTGAGATTACTATATTGGTTACACCTTTGCAGGAAATGATATGAAGTCTGTTGTAATCAAGACCAGTTTAGAATCTACCGACGGGGAAGGCTTATGGCTCTTAATAAGAAGGGCGTCTAAGAAGCCACAGAACGGGTTACGAGATAGGAGATCCGCTTCACATTGTTGTGCTCCTTTTATGTAACGAACAGCATATTGGTAGCTCTCAAGTCGTAAGCTCCATCGGAATAATCTGCCTGACGGGTTTTTGATTGTCTTCAGCCATTGCAATGCGTGATGGTCAGAAAATATGGTAAATTTTCAGTCCATCAAATAGACGCGGAATTTATCCACACTCTCAACGATTGCTAGGCATTCTAAATCAGAGATGGAGTCATTCCATTCGTGTGAACGAAGGGCGCGGCTGAAGTATTGGACTGAGTAGGTCTTCCCAT